CCCGTCAGCCCACCCGCTCCCTCACGATGCCATCCCCTTGCTCCGGCAGCTCCACAGTCTCCACCGGTCCAGGCAAGACGTGCACCCGGTCCTCCAGCCCGTTGAGCCGCACCACCTCCCGGGCCTGTTGCCAGATGGCGCTGGCCTCCACGGCGTACACGCGCCGAGCCCCGGCCTGGGCGCAGAAGATGCTCAGGATACCGGTGCCAGCGCCTACGTCCAGTACCGTCTTTCCCCGCAGCGCTGCCCAGTTCCGCAGGATGCCCAGGCGGTAGGCATCAGTGCGGACGCGGTCCGCGATCATCTCCTCGTGGACGGATACGTCCGAATAGCACTCGTAGTACAGCTGGTCCCGCTCCCGCTTAGTCCTCCGGGGTCGGGGCAGGGCCGCCTCCGGCTCCCCGTCATCTTCCTCTTCAGTTCCCTCCCCTCCTTCGCCGCCGCCCCCCGACTCAAGCTTTCTTTTCTTGGGCTGCGACATCTTGGCCGCGGCGCCGACTCCCGGCGGGCGTTGCGTGGCTCGGCGCGGGCCGCAGGAAGCAGAGGCTTCTGGGACTTGTAGTGCGCGCTGGCGCTCCCCACTTCCTGCCGGCTCAGGCCGGCCCGGGACGACGTCTGCTAGTCCTTCCCAACTCTTGTCCTGCCCACTTGGTGTTCTGGCGGCCCTTTAACCTCCCATGTCCCATGATACTGTCAGTCCTTCCTCAGTTCTTATTGGCTTTCACTGCCCTTTTGAAGTAGATACGTCCACTTAAGACTAAAAATCCACCTTTGTCTTGTTTACTCAACTCACCCATTCGGTTCTAGCGAATATATCATGGCTGCACCCTTCACTCATTACCGTGTTATGCACACAGCTGCGACTATTAAGCCTCCCCAAACGAGGCGATTTAGAGAGCATATTACACATTTTTCTGTTTTTACTGAAGGTAGGCTACAAAGAAGCGGAACTAAGTGAAAATCTCACAATTCAAAACCTTGATTCTGATTCTTATGTGATCATCGAATAGCAGGTAATACGACTTCTCTGGCCTTCCATTACTCATTCACCCACAACCAGCAAGGTATCTTCATGGCAGCAGAATAATTACGTTTCTGTTCTCTTTTTCAGTGGAATAGTTGTCTCTGTCCTTCCCTGATAATTCTGTGCTTCATTCAATTCTTAAATTTTGGATGTGCGCAGACTAGAGGGAAAGTAACAGTGGTGTGATAGTCAAATCTATTGCTAGATATATTTGGGTTGCCAGTTATTACTTTTTTTTCCTCTAAGAAATAATGGAATCCTTCATCCTTATGATTATTTCCACTGCAACTGATTTTTTCCTGTGTTTTCTTGTCTGGGCAAGACTAGTACTCTCTTCTTATATTTTTGTTTCAGCTAATAGTGGTTAATCTCTTCCTTCGTTGTTCATGATGGAAATAAAATATATTTTAAAATGTGTGATGTCTATATGAGTGTTTGTGTTCTTAATACATAAGGTGAGAATAACATTTTCTCCCAGATGAAAGAAAAAAAAATCGCACAGAAGAAAATTATTTTCTTGTGATCTCAAAATACATTTGTTTAAACAAATACATTTGTTTAACCTATATTCCTTGCTTTAGGGAATAATTCTTTCACCCCATTCTATAAATCTTTTATTAATGAAATAAGTTTATTGATGAGGCATCATCCTCTGCTGTATTTCTAATTCAAGATTCTCAATCCTGGCTGCTTATTCGAATTCTCTAAGGGGCTTTTTGAAAAATACCTATGCTTAGGTCCACCTCAGACCAATTAAATCAGATTCACTCCAGTGGAACTTGGGCATCCAGTTTTTAAAAGCTCTCCTGGTGATACTAATGTGCAGTCAGGGTGGGAACTACTGTTTCTCACTAAAATGATGGTTAAATCTTGCCTCATTATTTTCATTGGTAATATATGTTTCAGTGACCTGGGCTCAGCTTTAAGGCTAGAAATAAATATGATCTCATTAATGTAGTACATCTAAGCCATTATTTAGTGTGGACATCTCTCATTCTTTCCTCAAAATGTCACTTTCCCTTTTTGAATGTGTTCACCTAATTTTCAATTCAGTTCCTTTTGATCTCTGTTTTTTTTTTTTTTTTTAGAGGTTTTTTGCTATAGAGCGCGTGTGCTTGCCAGAAAGAGAGAGAGACAGAGGGACAGAAAGTGAGAAATCACCCCTCAGGGGGGATGGCCACGCTGCAATCCCTTCTCCACCATTCTCCTTTCAGGATCTTGGGTATGCACGCACATACACCCAGCGTGAGTTTAAGCCAGACTAGAGCTGCGGTCGACTACATGGGAATCCAGCAACATAGCCTGTAGGCCATCCTTTGGTTCCCCTTTTGATCTCTTTTAAGAAAATTCTAAATGGAAGTTTTGTTGGTTCTACCTCTAAAATACATCTTGAATCCATCAGCATTTCTCCATCTCCATTGTTCACACTCTAATATAATCTTCCATCTTTATTTGCCTGGAAACGAGTCTTCTAAGGGCATTTCCTGGCTTCTAACTATATATTTATGTAATCCTTTCTTCACATAGCTGAAAGAATGAACTTCTAAAAAACTCAAATTGGGCCATGCCATTCTCTAGTAACTTTCCATTCCAGATATTAAAACAATTTAGTGACTTCAAGTAACTTCTAATCTTAGGTCATACCACTCTTTACAATTCCTCATTGAGTGCAAAATACACTGGTCGAATAACATTTCTTTTCTGTGTTAGGCCTCCACTTATACCCTTTTGGTGCTTAGCAAATTTCTTTTCCCCTTAGTATTTTGCTTTAATGGCTTTTCATTTGTCAGGTCTTAAATGTTACCTCCTGAGAAAGGCCTTCCATGACTACTTTAAATAATATTTTCTAGGGACCAGCAGTTGGTGTAATGGCTATGTTGTTGGATTCCCATGTAGTTGACTGTGGTTTGAGTCCTGGACCCAGTGGCTTAAACTCACACCGGGCGCATGTGCATGCGTGCCCAAGATCCTGAGAGGAGAATGGAGGACAAGGGACTGTGGTGTGGCCGTTGCCCCTGGGGGGGGGGGTGATTTCTCACTTTCTTGGTCTCTATCTATCTTTCTGGTGAGCACATGTGCCCTATAGAAAAAAACCTCTCTAAAAAAAAAATAATGATAATAATAATAATAACATTTTCTAACCCAAGACATACTTTATGTCCTTCATAGGTTTTTAAAAAATTATTTATTATTTAGTTCTTCCATGAATGATAGATAGACAAAGAAAAAGATATGCAAAGGCACAGCATGCCCAACAGGGCCCTGATGCTGCAATTTACCTTCAGCCTCAGCTAATCCTGGATCATAAAATGCCCTGCCCAAAGCTTCTCAGGGAGGTCTTCAGACCTGAACCTGAAACCAACCATCCCCTTTGTGTCAACATCACAGAGTGTTATGTTTTACCACTCTTCCATAATCCAGTAATAGATATTATTACCTATCTTTAATTAACTTATTTTTTTTATAATATAAGTTCCAGGAGGCTTGGACTTTGATTTTTCCACCATTGTAGTTCCTAGCACTAGAACAGAGCCTGGGACACAGAAAATGCTCAGTTTAGAGTCTCGAATGGAGAATATTATGGATGCACAATCAAATTATTGATCATAGAGGAAGAAGAAGAAAAAGTTCTTCTCATTTAGCTCAGTATGACAATGTGATTCTGGTAAACTGAGATAAATCCAGCTATAGACTGAATTTAGAATGCTTTCAGAAATGCATGTAGTTTCATTTTCAAATGCTCTTAACCTTCTAGATACATTAATGATAAAGCCAAATAATATCCAGAGTAGAGAAGAAAAGTCTAATGGCACTTTCCCTTCCCACTCTTTGGCTTGATTTAAAGAGTGAAATTTTTACTGATTTTTTTCCCCTACTACATTCACTTGTTTTAATAGGCATAAATCCTAGTTCTTCCCTAAGCCCTGCAGCTCAGCAAATCACCTAAATGGAAGAAGATTTGGAACTGTGTTGACAGAGCATTTTTTGTGTTTCCATATCAGTAGTCTACAGGCCGTATATATTCACTGCTCAAACTCAATACTTTTCAAACAAATGAACCATTAAATAGGTTTAGTACATCTTGAATAGCATTTAAAAAGGTAAAATAGAAGGCTGACTCCCAGGCCTGATGGTTAAAGAAGCTGGATTCTCCATGGCCTATTATTTGCTTAGTATTCACTTTTAGAAACTTGAAAATCACACTAGGCATGTGTGCATGGGTACCCCATATCTCAACTGAATAGAGAAACGGAGACAGGATTATGCTGTAACCACACCCCATTGTTGGGGGTTATGTTCTCCCTCCCCATATCTTTCTTTGGTGAGCACACTCACCCTCAGGCAAAAATTAAAGAAAAGATGAAATATATTAGAAAATATATCATCTAAAGGGAGGTAAAATAAAAATTGTTTTAGTTAAATATTCTCTCTCTCTCTATATATATATATATTTGTTTGTTTGTTTGTTTTTGTTTACTTCAGATTATGGTTTAAAAGTTTGAAGTCCACAGCTTACTGTTTTCTGAAAACACTGCGAACTTTGCTATTTTTGTGCTTTGGCTGTAGATGATCATACTTTTATCCTTTCACTTATCTTTTTTGTTGTTGTTGTTAGAGAGATTTTTTGGTATAGGGCATATGTGCTTGCTGGAGAGACAGAGAAAGACAGAGAGACAGAAAGTGAGAAATCACACCCGGGGCAGGGAGGTTGGCCATGCCACAATCCCTTCTCCATTCTCCTCTTGAGATTTTGGGCATGAACGCACATGTGCCCAGCAAGAGTTTTATGCCACCATTCTGGGAATTGAACTACAGTCTGCCACTTGGGAGTCCAGTGACATAACCATTACACATCCGCTGGTCCCAGCTTTTCACTTACCTATTTATAATGTTCAAATGTTATTTATCTCTAGCTTTTTTCCAAAAGTTGGTGGC